GTCCCCCCCAGCCTCGGGCAAATGACTCCCTGGGAATCTCGGGACAGGGCTGGACCAGCCTAGCGACGCGGAGCATCGTGTAAGCTTCACAAGTTCGCATCACCGCCGTCACGCCCTTGTCGAAACCCGCCAGGTAGCACCGCGTGCACGCAATCGCTCCAGCGGCCTCAGATTTGGGAAGAACACTGTGGATTCTGCAAGAGGAGGAAATGGACCGGTGTCGGCGATAGAGGGACAGCGTGGGCGATTTAGTCACCGGTTCGCCGACGTGTCAACATGGAAGCGACCTATCCTCTCCGTCATGGAGGATGACTCTTACGATGTGCTGTCCTTATCACCGCAAATATGGCCCGTTGCGGGGGAGACAAGTCCGAAGGGGTAATGTTACTGGACTGGACGGTTGAACCTACGATGCCTCTTTCAACCCGACCTCTCCCGTAGAAAGCGAGCCCGAACGATCGGAGGCAGAAAGGGCCAAGGTGTTCCGAACTCTTTGTCGAAACCGTGTCGATTAGCTACAATGGTTCCCGCTTTGCGCAATCCGAGACTCCACCGCCCACCTATCCGGCTCCCGCGTGACAGCTTGCTGGAGTCGCTGCGGCCCTGCGGCCATTTTTGAGTCTTGGCCTCTGTCCCCTCCCCGCCGGATATGCTTTTGCCCCAGATCTTGGGTTTCGCGCACGACTCGCGGTGGGAAGACTTGTGTCCAGTGACGAAGTCTCTCGGCTCCTCAGGGTCCCTCTTTTTTTTTTCCTCCCTTAATTGTAATTAGAGTATCGGTACACTTTTAGCACGCATTCGAACGGAGTCCACGATGCTCTGTCTTTGCATTCATTCGTAAGGGACCCCAGGTGGTGGTAACCGAGGCACACGGCGGACGCGGCTGTCCCCAGTCAAAGTAGGCGCGCGTACGCAGGCGCAGGCGCAGCAGGAAAGCCAGCCAGCATTCGAGAGCAGAAAAAAACGTAGAGATTTAGAGTAGGTTGGCTGCCCGCGCTTGATTCAGCCTCCTTTTGTGGCTGTGTTTTTTTGCCTTGCTGCGACGAACATGGGAAACGTAAGGCTATTAAAGAAAAACGCATGCGCCTTACGGGCTGGGAGGCAGACTACGGGGGAACTATTACAATGATTATGGGATTTTACAAAGGTCATTTACGGATACTACATTTCATTGCGGAGCGGAGTCCAACATGAAGACGCCACGATCACGGCACGGCAGCATGCCAACGTTCATAGTCGTGTACGAAGATGCGAAAAGGAAAAGTGAAAGTAGGCTCCCTGGCTTTCCGGGTATGCGGCGCTTGCGTTTGGCCAAGCCTTGTACTTTTGTTGCGTATGACATATGTTCGGCAGGCTGTCTTGCAGGCTGGGCGGTATAATGTCCTTCACCCGCTTTTGAGGGGTCAGGCTGCGAGGCTTTGCTGGTTGGTATGTAGGCTGACTTTGATATTTGGCTAAGGCTGATATTGGGGAAGTCGAGGGTGGGAGCCTGACATGGAGTTGGTGCATGGTAGCTAGGTTTTTTGCATCGTTTGCTTCGTTGCTTTTGATGCGTCATAGGTGATTTCGTGATATATGTGAAAATTTCTACAGTTACCGGCTGGTGATTCTCTGGAACAAATGGACTACCTAGCAGTCAGGTAGGCAAGTAGGCGGTAGGCAACGAGGCCGATTCAGGACCGAGGCTAGCTAGCTATCTACCCGTTCCGTTGAAGAGTGAGGGAAGCAAGAGGAGCACGGGAGAGTACGGGTAAGCATGTGAATCATCGTCGTTTTGAGGCCTCGTGGTGTTTTCTGCCTGGCTTGGCCGTTCCTCGGGAGGTGACGGGTGAGACGGCCACTCTGGGTTATTGGCCTCGCTTGGAAGCGGGAGGAAGAAAGGTGCGGAGGGACGAAGAGGATTTGTGTCCCTTTTTGTGTAAGTCATGCCTGATTGAAGAGTTTTCCTTGGGTGTCATGGGGAGATGTGATGACTCTTGATGTAAGCTTTCTCTTCTCTGGCGGTCGGAGGTCCTTTCGGATCTGGGTCGGGCTGGTGTGAGGGAAAAGGGCATGAGATAGCTCGACAATGACGGCCATGGTTGCTGCGATACTTACGCAAAGTTTCGGTGTGTGGTTTATGTTAAGGGATGGACATGTTTGCATGCTGAGGCTGTTTGGTTGGGAAATTTGCGAGGCTGGATGTTACATGTCGAGGTCGAGGTGAGGTCTGGAGACTTTGATGGTGGAACCGTAGTTATCAAAGGTGCACGATACTCGCTCTGCTGGAGTTTCCAAGTTGACAGTTATCAGATTACCCCGGCCATGAAACTCGTTTCCTATTCTCCCTTCGCGACGTAGAAGCAGATTGTGCTGCGGAGCGAAGTTTTTGTTGCAAGATGGATTTTAATATTGATAACTAGTGACGCTGTCCCCAGAACCCATCACGTTGGGAATCATAGGGAAATGTGTTCCCCTCACAAGGGAGAACACTACCGGTCGATATTCGGCATGTAATACTAAGGAAAGAGACTGGGAATTGAAGGTATAAATAAACCTTGTAGTAGCTCAAGGAATGAAAATCAGGCAACATAAACTCTCGGACTGAAAGTCATGGGTTCCACTCAATATAGTACTCACCATGTTGCTTCGCCTAAGATTTACAGATGTATCACGACAGCATCGATGGTCGATTCCAAATTCTCAGACCCCCGAATTGCTGTCCTCTGCCAGTCACATATTCCACGAAGAATACCCCATAGCTAAAGGGGTGGAGCATGCAAGGACTACATATAGTGAATCATATATCAAGGCTTTGGGTCGATGCTCCAGGAGCGACTCAGGGTGCCCAATAGGCTAACAGTTGGTAGCACAACAGAAGAATGAAAAAGGTCTTCCCACATCTAATGGTCGCCTTCTTAGACACGGTAGAATCCTGCAAAGAAAGGGTCTTTTAATATTCGCGTCGGGAACCGAGCTCTCAGTACCGGAAATCACCTGAACTACTACTGGAACAGCTTAGTTGGTCGGCTCTGATTCCAATGGTAGGGCTCGTGTCTGGTGTGTGCTTTGATGGGCGCATCAGGGCGAGGAAAGAAGCGTCTGGAAATGAGAACCGTGGGCAACCCACTCGGGATTCCTTATGTTGTCTTGCAGATGGGAATGGTGCCATTTCTGTGTGACCAGTAGGGCAAGCATGTGCTAAATTAGGTTGAAGACGATGTGGTGAGTTCGTGATCATAGTGATAGTGTCAAAGCGTGGTCACTAGGAGCCCAATTACTGGACTCTAGACATGGTGATGCATAAAGTTCGGTCCTTTCCTGGTCTCTCTCTGCTGTCGTACGCGTAATGTACCCTCGGCAACAATTGATAGCGGAAGACTGTGATGACGACCCAGCTCCAAGACAAGACACCTCCTCTAGAAGCCGTTTGCGACAGCGTTTCTATGGCAGGGGCCGCTACGCTGCGAGAAGTAAACATAGATGTTGTGGGTTCGCAGCAAGCATGAGCCATCGAATGACTTTGGGACACACTGAACCGTTCTGCATCAAGTATCGAAACAATGTTTGCCTCCAAAGATCTTTGACAACCATTATGCAGTAGAACGCATCGTAGGCAGGGCGTAGTATCAGAGATTATCAGCTTTCTTAGCTCTTCTTAGACTTGCGACTTCTAAACACCGTATTTCTATCAAGGGGCCGGCCGTGAGACGATATCAAAGCCCCCTCCCCTTACCATTTGCCTAGTGTCGCTTCACCATTTAGGACCTCCGAGATGTTGCTACACCTCCGAGATGCAACAACCTTCTGACAGGGAAGAGCAAAAAAGAGGACGGGTGAAGTGTCCCAGCGCGGACGTGACCTCTGACAGCTCTCCGCTGGCTATACATACCAGTCTAGGCTATTCGCCATCAAGCAGTGCTGCTTCTCATGTATTGCCAGTGGAATAGGTAAGCAGTGACAACTATGTTCATAAACTTCCAGGCTGCTCTTGTTTCGAAGACCTACGAGGAACCTTCTCTCAGCTTTCCCTTGGCGACTTTGAGAGCTGTTTCAGCCCTTGACCAAGAGGCAGCAAAAGGCCAAGACCCAAGCCGACAAGGAAGCCGACAAAAAAGCGAACCCTCCCCCGAAGCGAAAGCGCCCCGCGAAGCCCAGCAAGAGTGCGAAGAAGCAAGCCCCGACCGCCGACGAGGCCGACAGCCAGCATGCTACCGACGCCGAACCGCGTATTGAGAAACAACAACCACCGATACGGCCTCCGCGCAGTGGAGAGCCGAGTCAGCATATTCAAATCAACTGTGGGCGGGTTACCGAGTATGTTGCTGCTCCAGAACCACTTCTTCACCGTGCCTAGCAACCTTGCAGAGGTCACTAATCACTTGATGGGGGACCTTTGTTTAGAGGCTGAGATAGGGCAGGATTCAATACAGTCGGTGTAGACCCTGGAGTTGCTTGACTTGCAAAGTCTTTCATCGATGACATAGCGCGCACTTACCGTAAGACGACGTGAAAGCACAAGTATCTACACCTAATCATCCTCCTCCTAGGAAGGGAGGCCGAGTATTGTGCTAGACTTCAAACGGAGAATACTGGGCCGGGTAGCATTCATCGGCGTGGTAAAGGCGTTGTCATCGTGGGCACCCAAGTCCGGACAAGACATCTACAAGCCAGGCTAGAAGCTAGAGTATTGCACAAAGTGACAGCATGGCCTAAGCCGTAGCATCCCGCAGACCGAGCCTGTCGTGGGAAAAACATCATACAATTGATCAATTACAATGAGCGTGGTGATCCAGTCTTGATTCCATGTTGATAACTACTCTGTACAAACAGCAAGAGACCTCTCCGTGAGAGGCTTGATAGACTTTTTCTCAGTTGCACTTTAAAAGCAGCTTCATTTCTTCCCTTTTGCGTGACCGCTTTGCGTGTGCGTCACCCACGTCCAAATTTTGCAATTTCCCGAAACCAGAACCAAGAAAATACACCAGCAGATTCCTCTGCCAAACTGTGGCATGACGCGCTTAAGAGGCCATGTAGGTGCTGGCATCGATACCCTCCTTGGGGAACTCACTAAGTAATGCGTTAGAGACTTGACAAGATAAGCTAAGAGTTTTGAGAGAAACTTACGGAAGAGCAACCTCGAAGCGCTTCTCAATAGACTTGAGAACCTCCTGGTCCTGGTCAGTGCTCACAAAGGAGATGGCAAGACCCTTGGTACCGAAACGACCGGCACGACCGACTCTGTGCAGGTACGAGTCGGCATCGGCGGGCAGATCGTAGTTGATGGCCAGGTTGATACGCTCGATATCAATACCTCTGCCGAAGACATCGGTAGCAACGCAGATACGCTTGTTAAACTCCTTGAACTCTTTGTAACGGCGGATACGCTCCTCCTGGCTGACGCCGGAGTGGACGGCGATGGAGGGAAAGTTGCACTCTCTCAGCAACTTGTCCAGCTCGGTCGCACGGAGGGTGCTCTTGACGAAGATGATGACCTGGTTGAACTGAAGGTCGTCCAGGAGTTCGTTGAGCTTGCGGTTCTTCTCGCGCTCCTCGAGCTTGATGTAGTATTGCTGAAGACCGTGCAGGGTGAGCTTGGTGTCCTCGTCTACATAGTGCTCGGTAGGGTTCTGCATGAACTTTCTGCAGATGGGCTTGATGTCATCGGACAGGGTGGCTGAGAACATCATAACCTGCTTCTGGGTGGGGGTAGCGCGGAAGATCTCCTGGACGTCACGGCGCATGTCTGGTTGATGTTAGAGGTTTGGTTGGCGGCGGGTGTGAGGCCGTTACTCACCGATCTGGTCGAGCATCTTGTCGCACTCGTCGAGGACGAAAATGCGGACGCTGCCGAGGCGGAGAACCTTGTCGCGGACCAACGCGTTAAGTCGGCCAGGGGTGCCCACGATGACATGGGGGCAGGTCTCCTTGTTCTTGATCGTCTCGACATCCTTCTGGATGGGGGTACCGCCGTAGAAGACACCAGTCTTGATATCGGGCATGTACTTGCTGAAACGGTTGTACTCGTTGCGAATCTGGAAGGCAAGCTCACGAGTGTGGCACATAACCAACACGGAGACCTCGCCCTGAACGGGCTCAACTTGTTGCAGGGTAGTCAGGACGAAGACGGCTGTCTTTCCGAGACCAGACTTGGCCTGGCAGATGATATCTCCACCGAGGAGAGCCTGGGGGATACAGGTTTGTTGGACTGTTGGATCGCGCCGAAGTTAGATATGTGTTCCAAGAGCAGAAGAACGACGTAGAGGGCGTGCAAAGGGCCCGTCCATCTGCGCAAAGAAGCCATTTTGTCGAGTTGGTCTCCTCCTCCACTACGACAATACGCCAATCATTCAATCAAGATGATGGCTGGGGCAGAGCACGAATCGCGAGCGTCGGCGTCGCATGCGCCCCGTGTCGCTCGCGACTGTGATACAAAAGAAGCCAGACCGCCGTGAGCCAAAGCTCTAGCAGCGACCGACCGACTGAAGTGCACTCGGGAACACCGCAGTGTTCGCGCAGCCTAGGGGTGCTGTCACGCTTCCCCCGAAACGGCCGCTTGTATACATCCACCTGTCACCGGTGAATTCGCGAGCAGTGCCCGTACAAAAACTTGGATGTCCAACTTGACTCCCGCTTCTCGGTACGTTTTCTTCTCTCTCTTCTTCGATGGCGACGTCGATGGCTTTTTGTTCTTTGTGTGGCTTGCGAGATGGACGGACGCTTTGCTGATGGGGGAGGGGATGATGTATGGGTTAGGGTATCATAAACTCAGGACTGACCCTCCGAAGGATGCTCGAAACCGCAATCGCCAATAGCGCGGAGAAGCTCGGGCTTCAAAAGGAAGTCGCGGAAACCGGTCGAGTGGATGCCGACATAGCTGCCCTTCTTGTCGACGGCGTTACCGGCGGCAGCGTCAGCCTTCTTTCCGTTGGAGGCGGCCGCAGTCTCGTTGGTCTGGAGCTCCTCGTCGGAGTAGTCGATGAGATCCTCCTCAGCAGACATGTTGTCAATTGTCGGGGGTGTCGTTATTGAAGTGTCGGAGAAGAAATGGCCGTTGTACTGATGCGCAACGGCGAAAAAGGTCCCAAGGCTGCGGATGCGAAGCTTGAGATGTCAGGAGAGGCGTGACGATCTGTGTCGCGTGAAGAGGGAGGGTCGAAAGACTATAAAAATCGCAGGAATGAAAAAACCCGCGTATTCGTGTCGAGAAAAGTGCACGACAGGTGGGGGGGATTAAAAGCGGATGGCAACTGGAGGTGCAGGGTTGGAGGGCGTGATGGAAGGAGGCGCCGTAGTTGATGTGGAAGTGGAAGATCCAAGGACGACGTGGAACTGGAGGCGAAGGGTGAGGCGGGCAGCGCAGGTCAAAAGCTTTCGCGTAAGGAAAGGCGGCTGAGTCTCACCCCCAAAAGGCGACGTCATGTGACCAGACCCGTTTTTGAGAAGACCGTGTTCATCTATGGTCCACACGGTGAACACCTGCCTTTAACCTTAACCTTTGAACTGGAGAAACACTCATGTTTGGCAGCCATACATCCCCACCACCCCTGCAGAAGTTTTTACGACAAGGTCCAACACTGACTCTCGTTGCAACGCAGACTTCAATGCCATTCAGGGTCTGAAACGTGGGACAAATCGCAGGGAGGACGAGCGAGAATGGCAAAGCCCAAGAGCGAAAGCCTGCCAAACCGGCACGCATATACGCGGGTATCCTACCTGCATCAGGCCGCCTCATACCTGGCGACTCTGCAGATCCCGGGCGCCGACTCACTTCCAAACTCATCATCACGGTCTCAAGAAGACGCGCAGCTCGCCAGGATCGAAAACTCGCGCTCGACAAATGAGAAAGTTGCTCGTCGATTTGTCTCTGATATCCGAGCCGTCTCTCTCAAGGCTCAAATTCGCCCGAGCCCTTCGGTCAAGCAAATGATGTGCAAGTTCTGTGACTCACTGCTCATCGAGGGAATGTCTTGCACTACGACGGTTGAAAATATGAGCAAGGGCGGGAAGAAGCCTTGGGCCGATGTTATGGTCATGAAGTGCAAGACCTGCGACAATGTCAAGCGGTTTCCTGTCAACGCGCCCCGTCAGAAAAGACGACCATTTAGGGAACCCAAGACTGTTGAAGGGCCGGACGCAATGATTGAGGACACGACGGCTGAAGCTTCTGCTCAATCAGCTGGAGGTGGATGAGAATTGGCTGCCCTTCTCTTCACCGAAACAAAACACCACCAAGTGATACCTGAGTGGCAAGCCGCTGTCAGAAGGCTCCTACATAGGGGAGACCGGAGCTTTCCAAGAAGAAGCTATGTCGCTCGTAGAGAGGCCAAAAACCTGGCAAACTCTTACGTCAGGTATGATCTCTTTGGGGACAGGAAAACATGGGAATGCCTAACAAGACTATCAGAATCACTCGCAAAGCGCGCAGCTTATAGCTCGGCTCGACTACCAGATTAAAGACACTCCCAAAAGAAGTGGCAGCTAGATACCCTACCTCAAGCTTAGACTAAAAACATAGAATAAGCTTGGTGCATGGCTATTTATGATTTTTGTTCCGGGTCGAACGCTGCGATGGATTCCGGAGATGTTGAGACATGAGCAATCCTCGATGAGAGTAGACTCATAATGGTCCCTTGGGTATGAGACGCCCTTATGTACTATACATATGGATTTGCCGATCGGGCAAATATTACCAAGGAGATCTCGAAGCTAAAATGTCATGAAATTTTCGCTGCTACCGTTTTACCGAGATTAATTGTTTGCCAACACCTTTATGCCTTAGCATACCGCACGATGAATACCATCCTCCATCTTTCTGACTCCATCTTCGACTCCCTTGGCAGCGCTCCCTTTCTTTTGCTTCTCCTCATCGCCCTTGACACGCACCCGCCTGCGGCTGTGATGCTTCTTCAGAACCTGCAAATCGATCTGATCATTCTCAATAAGTGTCTCCGTGACCTCGACAATGTCCGTCAACAACCGCTCAAGCAGATCGAACGTCATGGTCTCACGGACAACGACGCGAAGGATCTCAATCTTCTCCTCATTGGGTGGGAGCGGGTAGTTAGGAATGATCCAGCCCTTGGCGCGAAGCATTAGGGAGACGGTCTCCTGCTTGATGTGTTCGTACTTGGCCTTAAACTCATCCGTCAGACGGAAAGAGACGACAGGTAGGCCAGCAACGTAGTCGGCCGACGTCTCTCCCGGGGCAGCACTCTCGCCTCCGACGGCTGTGGCGGCCTGGTTTACAATCTTCTTCACAGCGCCGCTGGCTTCCTTGTGAGGTGCGCGGCGGTGAATATCGGAGACGACGGTGTACCATCCCGTGGCCTCGAGGCTCTGAGCGAGGATACGGGCGTTGGAGAGGCAATTCTCCATAATGGAGCGGTAGCCGTCGAAGCCTAGGTGAATAAGGTTGTAGTATTGCACAATAACCTGGGCACCTGGGCGGGAGAAGTTGAGAGTAAAGGACTTTTCTGTGCCTCCGAGGTAGTGGAGCTCGAAGATGAGGTCCTCTGGGAGGAAAGACTGGTCGCGCCAGATGATCCAGCCGAGGCCGGCGTAGACAAGACCGTACTTGTGGCCTGAGACGTTGATTGACTTGACGCGGGGGAGCTCAAAGTTCCTGCGGGCTGTAAGTGTATGATCAGAAGAGAACAAGTCGATATGACTTACCACTTGGAGCCGCCAACCCCTGCGTGGGTGAATGGGGCGATGAAGCCACCAGAAGCGGCATCGACGTGAATGGGGATGTCGATACCGGTCTCTTCCTGGTACTTGTCGAGAATCTGCGAAATCTCCTCCACGGGCTCGTAGTGCCCCGTGTATGTGCTACCGAGAATGACAAAGACGCCGATGGTGTTCTCATCGACATTTTCTCTCACAAGAGCCGGATCCAGACGGTAGTGGCTCTTCTTGCTGACGGGCAAGATGCGGGCCTCGACGTCAAAGTAACGGGCAAACTTCTCCAAGGCGACCTGCGCGTTGGAGCCCATGAGAATGTTGGGCTTGGAGGTGTCCTTACCCTGTTCCTTGCGTTTCAGCTGCCATCTACGCTTCATGGCGAGACCGCCGAGATGGATGGCCTCGGAGGAGCCCGTGGTTGCGGAGCCGATGGCCTTCTCACCGGGCTGGACACCCCACAGGTGGGAGATGATACTGATGCAGCGCTGGTGCATCTCCATCATGGCAGGGTACTCGTCTGCGTCTGAGAGGTTCTTGGAGAGGTTCTCCTGCATAAGCTGGGTGGCATTGGGTTCCATCCATGTTCCCACGAAACTAGGTTGGTATACTGTTAGTGAGAGGATCTTTATTGGAAATGTCGTGAATGCTCACCTGGCTAGGTTCAGGTTGGGTTTGCCATCGAGGTCCAGCTCATCCCTAATCATCTGAAAGACGGTGTCTCCTGGGGCGCCCTCATCGGGGATCTTGTACTTGGGAATGTTGGTTTGACTGGTGTATCGGCTGTCATAGGGTTGGATGTGTGATGATGTGCCATGGCTGGAAGCATTGGCATTACCTGGAGCTGTGATGTGAGTTGCCTGGAGGCGTTGGACAATGTCCTCTGGGTTGACCTGCGTAAAGTGTCAATTCTAGTGCAACATCTTCATATGACGCATCAATCATCGACGGAGGATGCTTGTCGAAACCTACGTGACTTGCAAGAGGCATATTGACGTTTGGATTAGCAACTGTGGTTATGGTATCAAGAGTGTAGATGAAGATTGGGCATGCACTAGAAGAGACAATGCGATGGATTGATGTTGAGATCAAGATTGCCAAGTCTGGGGGATCACCGCTTGAGGCTTAAATACAACAGCAGATCACGAAGGAGGAGGCAGCTAAGGTGGCCGTCAAGCCGATGATGAGGGATGAATGACGACATACGGTAGACCGAGCGGAGCACGGGAGTTTCCTTGTGGACAAGTTTTGTCGGAAATAGCAGCTCCAAGTGCATGAAAGACACGCCTCGTAGCCCCAGATCACGGGCCGAGGAGGGGAGGGAATCGCGATGGGCTAGACAGGAATGATGTCTCTGGCCTCTTAGTGCGAGGACCTCCAGGGTTCTCTGCCAAGGCCATGGCCAACAGCAGTCGATGGTGCAGCATCAGCTCGTCAACTTTTGCTGGGGACGTGGAGCAGGTTCAGTGAATGGGGGAGAACTGGACTGGAGCAGCTCAGTGCCCCATAGGTATGGTCCAATGCCGAGTTTGCCGGTGGATTCCTCTTTCATCGAGTACTTACGTAGGTACGATGACTTGCGTGTCGCGCCAGTGCAGCTGAGAATTGACTTTTTCTTGCCGAACGAGTAGCGGAGGAGAAGGAGTTTCTGTTACGTGCTATGACATGGCTGACATGTTTGGTGAGATAACTTGTAAAATGCAGTCAGGTTGGCAGGGAAGGAACAATTGGATCGCAGATGCTCAGGTGGTCTGGCCCTACAGAGTGGATGGGTGACGGCATTTAACATTGGGAAGCTGCGACTTGGGGCCCGGACCTGACCAGCCGGGGAGGCTCCTTCCGCTCTTCCTCCCACTGCTCCAGGAGTTCAGTGACAGCTCGGGTGGGCCCCGTTCCCGTCTTGGCACTGCACTTTCGCAGCAGGTACGCCGGCAGACGGCAGGAACCCAAAAATCGCCGTGGAATCCGGAGGTGATCAGTCTTGCCCGAAATCTTTCTTACCTTACCTTACCCACCTCATGTCAAGCTATCGTTGTGTTCACCCTCTTCTTCTTGCTCAATGCTGTCGAATCCTCTTTCTGGGTGAGGCCGCCCCCTAACGAACTGGAGTCTTCTTCGACGATAGACCTCCATAGTCTACAATGGCTATGGATCACCACAATGCCGATACTCTTTAGGCTACGTCTCCGAGAACGACGCTTCAAGAGTTGATCCAAACGGAAGCTGATAATTTTCAGTGCAAGATCAGATTATTCAACAAAGCGTACATCCCCTTGAACTGTGTCCAACTACTTGATCCCGGTTATTATCTTCAATGTGTTAGAGCAAGGACAACAACAACTACTGCTTCGATTATGGGGGTTTCAAATCTCTAAATATTGACTGCGAGAGGTTGACATCTCTTCGAATCAACCAGAGTCCTCAAAGGTCCAATACCACCGTATCACGGAGGACCGGTAGTCAGAAGAATAGCAAACAGGAGACGATGCAAGTCTAATGGAAAACCCACCGAGGTCCACGGATACTTCCATGGACCATCGATAACCGACACTTCAAATCCAGGGGTTCACGAGCTAGGACTCCAATCTGTGGATCGTCCAACAACGCGTGTTCGATAAACCTTAAAAGAGTATCATGTCCCGGTGAACATTCATCGACCGACGACAGAGGGAGAAGACACCATCGGAAATAAGATTAGATTGTCAGCACTGACGGGGGGTTTCCCAGTCTCCAGTCACATTGGTTCATTCACCAACCAGAGATAAGCCAGGCTCTCCCAGAAAGCCCCCGGTCGAAAATCACGACTGGTGATTGGCCGATACGGCTCAATTCGACCAAAGTCCCGTTGCAGTGACTCGCCAAGTCTCGCGCAATGGCCGCGGCTGGGCCGAATGGACGGCTACAGTGGCATTCCAGCATTGGCACGCTGGCAGCTGTGGCTTTCATCCAGACTGAGAGCCTAGGACCCTTGGGACAAGCGGCCTGGCACTTGAACAGTCTTCGAACTGGCACGAATTGGCCACGCGAACTGCGAGAACGATGGCAAGGCTAAACTGCCAAAGTAAGGACTCTCCAGATATCGGACGAAGTTGAATCGTAGCTGTTTGCAGTTGGTCCGTCAATTGTTCGTCCCCCCAACTTTGCTCCTGGACGATCAGCAGTATGCACCAACTCCCGGATCGGTGGCAGGGGCACATCGGCAACTTTGTGATCTGCTGATCCCCAAGTTTCGCGGACAAAGGGTGGGAGGCAGAGCAGCTCGAAATGGGAAGAAGCCGGACAGCCAGAATCCTTTCGTCTTTCCAGCCAGCCAGACCAGCAGGCATCGAGCCACCGAGGCGTCGACTTTGGACCAACAGAGAGTCAGCTTTAGGTGTCCCCCGGCTCCGAGTTGTACTAGAGATTGAGAGGTGTGGATCAGAATTGTCGCCCATTGTCCTTCCAATGTCACCATGTCCCCGGCGAACCATTCTTCTTTTCCCCTCGCCTCCTCCACAGCCCCTCGGATGTCG